TTCTTGCTCAGGTTTACCAGTTACTGAGGAACAACTCAAGGAGGTGGCAACTGAATCTGGTGTTTTAAGCATTCCAGATGATTTCCTCACTCTAGAATTTAGGGATGAATGTGAGCACATCATTCCTGATAATGATACCATTAAAGCAGATGAATGGAAAGATGCATATATGTATTTAAAACAGAACTTCACACTTTCAGTGTAATTTAATTGGAACATGTTATCCATATGGTTTATTTGTAAATTTCTGTAAACTATCATGGAATGCAACAACTTTAACAATATCAATGTATATAATTTAACTGGAATATGTTATCCATATGGTTTATTTGTAAATCTCTGTAAACTGTCATGGAATGCAAGAACTGTAACAATATCAATGTATATAACATATCACCTACTTTTATAAAACCTTTGTTCCAAATATGTCTCTCATTTTGGAAAAAGCAACAATCCAGTTATATTTCTCATTTAGTATAAAACTGTAACAATGTTAAAATTATTGCAAAACGTTTGTTCAGAATAAGCCTCTCATTTTCTTATCAGCAACATTCAAGTCATAACTTAATATGATAATAACATAAGGTAACAACACAATCAGAGTTGGCTGTACACTCGGAGTAAATAAGTACAAAAAGCAAGATTGCAATTTAAAAAATTAAATCAATGTTAGACAACAACAGGAACAGTGAATAACTTGTCCTTCATATATCCTTATTTAACGTGCACATATATGTCCTTCACATATCCTTCAATGTTATTTTGACCTATGATGGTACTAACTATTAAGTGACCTATAATGGTACTAACGTAAGTCCTAGAAGTTTGCAATACTTGTTGCACTGGTGTTTCTCAAAAAATTTNATAATTGCCATTAACTTCTTGCTCAGGTTTACCAGTTACTGAGGAACAACTCAAGGAGGTGGCAACTGAATCTGGTGTTTTAAGCATTCCAGATGATTTCCTCACTCTAGAATTTAGGGAAGAATGTGAGTGCACGTATATAACATATCATCTACTTTTATAAAACCTTTTTTGCAAATATGTCTCTCATTTTGGAATAAGCAACAATCCAGTTATATTTCTTATTTAATATAAAACTGTAACAATGTTAAAATTATTGCAAAACTTTTGTTCAGAATAGCCTCTCATTTTCTTATCAGCAACATTCAAGTCATAACTTAATATGGTAATAACATAAGGTAACAACAAAATCAGAGTTGCCTGTACACTCAGAGTAAATAAGTACAAAAAGCAAGATTGCAATTTAAAAAATTAAATCAATTGTAGACAACAACAGGAGCAGTGAATAACTTGTCCTTCGTATAACCTTGTTACATGCACATATATGTCCTTCACATATCCTTCAATGTTATTTTGACCTATGATGGTACTAACTGAAGGGGTGAGTGCAAAACCATGCTAAGTGACGATTTGGGTGAAAAAAAAAATATTCGCGAAAGGGCTTGAATTTTTGTGTGTGGTCTTCAATGTAATAGAAAAACGCGGCCCTGTATTTTTGTCGCTAGTTTTTGCTTCGTTTTCGAGTTATAACGATGCAAAAATACTTGGCTTTTCCTAGCCATGTCTTTAGGAGTTTAGTTGTTGAACAGCAAACAGGCAGACTGTTTATTGTGTATGAAGTCAAAATCAAATCTCACAGCATATATAGAGTGGAAATCTGGGAACAGATTGTTTACATCGGTTATTGTGACGTGAGCACAACATGTGAATTGATCGAGCATCAAACGAAATTCATCAAACAAAAAAGAGATGTGCCACAT